AAACCTATGGTCTTTGAAACAGAGCTTGTTTGGAGAATTTTTGTGCCACACTCAGCAGGAGAGATAATCCATCAAATGTGATCGCAATAAGAAAAGACCGGCAAATTGGCGCAGGGCAGCTGCCAAGGCATTTTGCGAGGTGTCAAGACGTTGAGCAATGATGTTGGATAATAAACAATAAACATTAAAAGCAATTTCAGAGAATAAGAAAAGAACGAGATGGGGAAAAACGATTGCTGTGAACGTGTGGTAAAACACAATAGATCTACTGGTTCGTTTTTCAAACTTACCGTGATCTTGTTGATTTCAATTTTCGATTGACCAAACCCTGCCCAAGTTGTCCTATACTCAAATTTCTTTAAGGACTTTTGCCTTGACCATTCCAAGGGATTAGTTGCAGACAATGGAATGTTACCGATCAAAAACAAAAATGTTCATCTCACCAAAACTCAAAAGTCGTAAAGCAAAGTGAGATTTAACAATGATTGTGAGAATAGGCTAAGAGCTAGAAGCCAGCGATGCGATGTGAAACACCAACAAAGAGATCAGCACATTTGCTTCCTATGCGCTGTCCTGCATCAATACCACGAAATGTTTTCAGTTCATTTTTGCTAATTAGAATTCTTCGTACAGCATATGATTGATGAAACGAACAGATGTTGTGGCTAAGGTGGATGGGAAAGGAAGTGATGAGCTTCGTTCGCTTTGTGATCTTTTGTTCGATAAATAAAAATGCGAGAGTCGCACTCTATTGTAATGAATGGAAGTAGTGGGGCAAATAACATTAGGACTTTATTTTCTAGAAGAAAAGGGACAATAACGTAATAGTCTTAGTATTCAAATAAAGGAATAGAAAGCCGGTTGGATGCCTTTAGAGTATGCAGAAATTTTTTTACTTTCTGCAAGATTTTTCTCCCATTTCAATCATCAGTACTCGATCAGCTCTGCATCTCTTCTCATCTATGTCTAGGAGCTTGCCAGTTCCTTTCTATCAAAGCATCTTATCAAACTAACTATCAGCATCTCGAGGTCATTCACGTGGGAGATGAACAAAAGACCCTCATAAAGCAATTCTGAAAAAAAAAAAACGGAATCTTGTATTTCGAATCGTACACAAGCTTATCAACAATGTTTACAAAAAGAGCAAACATCGAGTCACGTAAAAAGTGGCCGTAGACAGTTATGCGGTGGAAGACGATTTGAACGTTTAAAATTTCATTATGCAAAAAATGTAATCAAGTCGTGCATGAAAGAGGCTGAGGACAGAAACAACGGAGAGAAAGTATCGAATTCTGCTCAAAAAAGCTTTTTGACAATCTCCTTCAAAATTTCTCCTGCACGATTTTTTTCTCTATTGAGCTGAGAAGCAAGCTACATTACAAGGCAAATAGAGATGCTGCTTCAACCTTGCCCTTTTCTTCCAGGTATAAGAGTAAGATCAAAGCGATATCACATTACAAGCCGTTAACATGAGGATTCAGGCGTCAAGTCTAATGATATGCTTCCAAAATTGAAGACCTCAACTTAGCAGAGACTAGCGCTGGAAAATGGAGGAGAGTTTGGCTTTAACTAATATTTTTCACTCAATTATGTAGCATTGTGATCGATTGTATAAATTGGAGACTTTAAAATGAAGCCATAGCAGTATTATGTGGATCTATGTCGTTAGCGTGTTTCATTTTACCAGTGATTTTCGTGCGATTTTTTCTATCTGTTTCGTTATTTTTCTGTGCAGAATGGCTGTATGCTTTGAGTGATTAAAATCTGATAAAGAGAGTGGAAACATAAGATACACAAGGTATGACAAAACAATAGTGTACAGAATTCAGGGAAAATGTAAAGCAGTGTCCAAATCTGGTGATCTTCATGCGATCACTAAACAAAAATAGAATAGTGAGTCTGGCTGAACGTCTCGCGATTCCACATCCATGCTACGACGCCATAACACATGTGAATGACAGGCGACAGACTTCACTATATTCTCCCATAGGAGTGAAAGCCTTGCTAAGCGAATTCACTTCATAACACCACCTTCACACTGATGCTTATCCATTGCTGTACGATAGCAAGGCGTAAGTCATTTAGGGTTTTGAGTAAATGCATTAGGTCAGTTGTGAACAGCAGTTGAACCTACAATCGTTGATTTGAGGGAGTAAAACTGAAAAGAAAAAACATCTTAGAAGCACGGGTTGGCTTTGGAGAAAAGTCCAAAAAGCAGTGTCAGGCGCCAATTCCTTCCAGTGACAGCATAGTATATCAATGACAATGGTGTCTGATGCCAACAGATATCAATAAAAGGCAAAAACAGCGTATGTAGCACACGCAAGATACAAAAAGTTTGAAATGAAAACCTTGTTGTTATACAGACCATTAACACGTTGACGACGAGCCATTTTTTAGAGGTCTGTCCCTGTGGACGAGACGTTTCCGTGCATCCCTACGCCTGGCCCATGTATGTATGCATGTATCCATGCACGAAATACAAAATGTGCAAGCCGGGCTCTCATGGGGCAGGCTCCGCCCACTCGGCCAAAAATGTCAGAAATTGCTCAGATTCTAAGAATTTATGCGAATTCCGCCTCTTCCGAAAAGGGCGGAGCTTGTCACTTAGGGAGCGGGACCCGGCTAAAAGTTGTTTGAGGTTTTCGCGTTCATCGGCTTCATCCATGCTTTTTATGAGCAAAAAGGGTTCTTGTGAGAGGCATGGGAGTGGGCGGAGTTTGCCGAAAGGGGCGAGGCTAATACACGAAGTTCATCTGAGCCTATGTTGATTATGTGAGCAAAAACCAAGAGGATTGGACAGATAGTATTGAAATTAAGGCCGCCGGGCATCATTGCGCAACACTGTCGTCAACGTGTTAAAGATCCTTCTTGGGAGTGAAGAATTAGTCCACTCTGTGTACAAGGTACAAGGGCTTCATCCTCGCAAGTCTACAATGATATATATTCATAGCATGTCTTATAGTCAGACCAGACAGCATAGATAAGTTGCAAGAAATTTGGAAATTGGCAACAGTGTCCGACTTTTGAACTGATAATGAGTCAAGAGCGTATAGCGCGATTCATTTGCCAGGATTTCAAAAAAAAAAAGGTTCTGCATTCTTATGTTTTAGTAATGCTGGAAACTGCGCTTGATGCACTGCTACTGAGTTCAATTGGTTTATGTCCGCTACATTTATGTAGAGTATCGTCGCAATTAATGCGGTAATCTCCGTAGCGATGTTAATGACCCGCGCTTGCAAGTATAAAGCCGAATTGAGAACTCCGGTCTTTTGTTACAAGAGCCTCGGTTTCCTTAAGGGCCGGGTATACTTCGCGCGATTTCGCTCGCGAAGCGGTTTGGCAATGTTCCAACTGTCCATAACTCAATGTAAGCACATTGCGAATGTACAGAAGATGGGGTATTTTATCAATCCACGTAAGTTATACACATTATGCATGTGCAGTTTGCTAGTGTTGGATCTGAAGACTTCTGGCGAATTGCCAAATCGTGTCGCGACCGAAATCGCGGAAGTATGCCCCCCTTTACGAACGTCAAGTTATGTATGCTGAAAAGACCGCTAATTAAACTCTGCTAGTTCTGATCCATAGATTATTGCTAGACACTTATCAGAATCCTTGAAGACTGCGGCCATGCGAATAGTATCTGAGCTTCTACATGGAAACTGATGTGATTCCTAATAAAGCCTTGTTCAATAAAATGCTCATATAGTAGTTGTGAACGGGAAGTATGACAGTAAAGTACCTCAGTACCGTATCCTTTCTCATCGGACCAATCGGCATGCCCAAGTATGATATACAATTCAGAAAAAATTCTTTTCCACTCAGGTAAGCGCCTCACTGCTCAACAGCCTTGGTATCATACATACCAGGGCCCGGCACGAGCTTGTCAAATGACAAGCTGGAAATCGTTTTCGGCAAAAAAAGCAAAGGGGATATCGTTTTTGCGGGGTCCGGGGCGGAGCCTTGGAAAAAAAATTGGTAGTTCATGCTCGCTGCTTATCTTAACATGTTATGTGCCTCAACAGGCGAACACTGGAGTTCGCACGCGTATAACCGCGCCGTCGCTAATTGCCGCACGCGCGACGTCGCTCAAAAGATGCTATTTGTAACAGCATACATGACTATTCTCAATGTATGCGTAACGATATGGCACCAGATTTTGTAGGCGAACGGAGAGAGGCTAGTGGAAACAAAGTATGAAAAATTATGAAAAACTTATGTGAACGGGACGAGTAATAAGCATTTTTTCCAAAGATTTTGCAAAATTGGTTAATGAAGTTGTAAATTCAAATGGCTCGTTTGCAACGCGCAGATGACGATATGGTATGAAACTTGGTACGCACGTGGATACAAGCCTGTAGGAGCTAACTTAGGAGTTTCATTGAAAAATTATGTGACTGAAGGTTGTGGCAAAGTTTTTTTCTGAAAATTTCCCGCTACCAAAGAAATAGAAAAATGGCTCGTTTGCAACGCAGAGGCGACGAAATCGCGCGGGATTCGGTGTGTATATGCGCAGTAGGACTAAGTAACAAAGTATGAAAAATTATGGAAAACTTATGTGCATGAAGAGTTTCCCCAACTTATTTCCAAATTAGCTTGTCATTTGACAAGCTAATGACAAGCTGAGCTTGGCAAAACTCTCAATTCACATAATTTTTCCAAAATTTTTACACAAATCTATTCTACGCCTAAACATTAGTATATACTGAAAATTTGGTCCCAAACCTCCTCCTTGCCCCATTGCTAGAGGCAAAAATAGCCTCTACAGCCCCGTTTTCTAAGGAGGAAAGCGTGCTCCAATCAAACTGCGTATCGCTGAGTCCCTTTCGCGTCGGCGTCTACATTTCGTCATTTACATATTACTGCTTTCTACGTTCCGCCTTTTACCTTTCTTTCCTTTTCACTTCCTGCGGATCTTTTCCAAATTTCCAATTTCAGACCACTGATGCCGCAAAATCCGATTGGCAAACGCTCGCATTGGGCAAAATATCAGGTTCATGAGTGAGTGACTTCACTTTATCTTAGCTATTATTCATCATGCCTCGTTCATGACCAATCAAAGCTTTTGCTGATCATTCCATATCTTTGCGTCGTCTTTGCGTTTGCCTAATAATCGAGTACAAACTTGTTGACCACTAGCTGTTTTCCTAGAGTCATGTGGTTCCTCATTTCTAACTTTAGAGATTTTCACGCTCAAGTGTGAGTTCAATTGTGGTGGGCCCTGCGGAAATTCATTATGTACGACTGCTGCTCCGCCCTTACAGTGCTTTTTTGCCTCGGTGAAAGTGCTGGGGACCATTTTCGCTTTTTGCTCTCCACCTTTATGATGGTTGTTTTCTAATCTCAAAAATCCTTGCTCCAAAATTGTCGTGAGCACAGTTTTCGTCTGTATTACTATGTTTGCATTGCTAATCTTGTATCCGGAGCTGGGGACCAGTTTTCGATCATGATTCCGCCCTCACAATCTTTTTTCAAGTGCTAATATTACAGGTAACACGCCTTCTCGTATCATCTACATGGATGATGGATTCTCGGTAACCCATGCTGGTATGACATCACTCCTCGATAGCCAAACCCATCCGGCTCATGGAGAAACGAGCATTCTCAAGATGAAAACCACTATCGATGCGATCCAGGTGATTTTTTATAGATAAATCTTGTAGAGGAAGTAACTGCACAGTTCAAATTTTCCGAATCCTACTCGTCGTGCATTGACGTCGCGATTTGACTGGCGACCGTTTTTAAAGCGTGGTGGTGCTGAGAGACGTATCGCTGAGATTGGCGCTCGACCCAGGGTTAGTCGAGCGGACTGAGGATGCTGTGCATTGACTTTTTGGCTTATGGTCCTGTTAGAGTGGACTAATTGCATGGAAATTTTTTTATGACTCTTCCTTTTTTTCGCTGTCTTAACATAATGCCCGTATGCACGTACATCCCCGCGGGGAGGGGATGTGCGCTTAACCATTGAAATGATCCCCGCTGGGGATCCCCTCCCCTCCCCGCGCGAACCCCCGTATGCACAAAGACAATATCGGACAAGGGATCCCCTGTGGGGAGGGGAAGTGAACCCTCTTATGCACAAGAGGGGATCAAGCGGGGAAATCACCTTGCTTTCAAATTTTCTACGAAAAACTCTTTCCTATTTCATATTTTGACTGCAACTCATCTTCATCTCCTCACTTTCATTGAATTAGGGTTGCGGAATGCGCGTATGCAGTGACTGCGCCCGGGGCACTAAAAATGATTTTTCTACTCCCATTATGTTCCTGCTTTCTTGGATGCTGCCCACTTTCGCTCATGCTGCTCCATTTCAGCGTAAAAATGTTGAACTATAGAAGTTGATGTGTCTCTGCAAGGGAATGGGTAGAAGACGTTATGCTGCCGAAAAGGGGGGGGGGGGGTGCCGCGCGGACGCTCAAAGCAGTATTCTAACACATAACAGAAGCTGCAAATTGTGCCAGCTTTCCATAAACGCTGTAGCTATCAGCTGCATATCGTCCTTTATCCCAGGGGAATGATCCCCAGCAGCCATCCCTGCTATGCACAAGGGGAACGCTGGGGAGGGGATCACTCCCCAGGGAATTTCTACTCAGAAATAGGCAAATATGCTACTTTCTAAATTTTTTCGAGGCAGCTTATGTTAAAATAACAAGATAATGGCAACATGTTATGAAATATGAAAGTTACAATGTGTTTACTCAGCCTATATAGTTAAAACTATTATGTTATATGAAAAATGCGCAAATTTCCTGAATGATCAAGAACTCCTACAAATAATCGAAATTGGCAGCTATTGTTGCTCGGATTTTTTCTCAAGAGGCGAATATAGAAAAGAAAGACAAATTGCAAGCCACAGGTCGCTGAGAGAAGAACCCGGCTTCCAAAGAAAACCCTCCATCAAAATGAACGAAATGCTTGGTGATGACTGAGCAGAACCAGAATATCCGCGTCTCTGGCATGATCTACACCATCGAACCCCTACTTCGTTGCAGGGGATGTCGATCCCCTCCCTTGCGTTATTGAGTTGAATTCGCGCATACGGGGTTCGAGTGGGGGAAGGGAAGGGATCCCCTCCCCCATTCGAACCCCGTATGCACTGGGGTTCGCTCGATCAATACCTCTGAAACCATTCACACCATCCCCGCTTAGGTGCAGGGTGGGGATCGCTCCCCTCCCCTCTGCCATGGCGGGGTTCGGCTGAGGGGATCGTTCCCCTGGGGATCCAGCTCCCCTCCCCTCCCCAGCGGGACGTACGTGCATACGGGCCTTAGGCATCCGCGAGTATTCGAAAAGAAAATGTTTTTTCTATTATTTGCATGTGCAAATCCATCAAGCGAATTACTCAAGAAGGAGTGATGGATTTGGAACCGGCATATCGTCTAGCAAATCTGAGCATCCACTATGATTCGTTGGGTAGAAGGTGAATAAAGAAATTCTTGAAATTTTAGCTTGCTTTGCAATGTACGTAATTGCAGAAATGAGCTGATTTGGGGTAATCGTACTACTCAAGTTACCTACGATCGGCAAAATCGTATTGTTGAACGTACAGTGAAGGGCGGAGTCAGTGCGAAATTTATGTGTACCAAGGAGTTACGCCATCCAAGTACTGTAGAGTTGCCAGGAGGATTGAAATGCTCGTTGAAGGCTAGTTTCTTGAAAATGCATTCCAGCAATTTATTCCGACAATTTTAAATTTATTCATGAAAATCACTGACATTAGGAAGTTTTTTTTTGAGTTTTTTGCAACGTTTTGCGTTTTGTGCAGTGCAGTTTTCGTAAATGTCGTGCAGTTTTTTGCGTAAATGTTTTGTGACGAAAGCTTGGCAACTAAGGCGCTATGGCTCAATGAATTTATGGCGATCAATTGTTCCAAGCTGAAGCCATGTTGGGCTTTTCACTCTATGCCATAAGCTCATTGTTATTATGACTCCCTCGACGTTTTTGAGATTATCCCAATTGCTTACCTTCTTATGACTGTTTGCTCGATTTCGTGGTTATTGTAGAATATCCTTGGGAATGTCAAACACACTCAAGACAAATTCTAATTTATAGGCACGTGCTACCTCCAGACCCTCATAGCTTACGCTTACACCATCTTTTTGTTACTTACGGCATGGGACAAATTAGATCTCGGATGTAACTATGATGTGCGATGTACGAAGCGACCTGCAGATCTGGTAAGTGGTCCCATTCTAGCTGCTCTCTAATTTAGCTTCATAACTTTTTTCAAGGAAGCACCCAGTACGTCTACAGCCGCTGGCTCGACTAGCAACTCTCCAAACAGTTCGCCATACAAAAAGAAGAAAAAAGAAAGAGGAGGAGCCTGAAGTCAAAGTGGATGAGGATGGATGCGAGGTAAGTGTGTTGTTATGTCTTCCTGCCACTAGAAGTGCTTCCTGTATCTAGGTTTATAATCCAACAAATCACGCACCTGCAGTGCCCGCAGTAGAACTGAGCGACATTAGAGTCATATCGCCATCTGTTTATGAAGAACTATCGTCGAATATCAAAGCGCGGTAGGTGGTTTAATAATTGATTGTATACCATATATCTGCACCTCATGAACATCTAATTTTTATTTTCTTCGTATGCTCTGGTTTTTAAAGCAAATGCAGACAATTAGGCCTTGTTGTTGCTAGTTTCTATAAATTATGAGTTCAGGAGCTGGTCCATTTTCACAAACTGGAGCAAGCAAAGCGCTTGAAGGCCCCTGCTGGCGAACGTGGCAAAAATCAGGTGCTAAAAAAAGTGCTTCTAAAAGCAATGCTAGGGACTCGTCAGTCAGGAAGAAGTAGGATGAGTTTTTCAAAAAAATGACCATTGTTTTTGCTGTACACGAAAGTGGCGTCGAATGCCTTATATTCCTTATCTTCACATTTGTTTTATAAGCGACCTATCCAGTATACTTGGGTAATTCGATAATTTTTCATCGAATGAATGAATATCGAATAAACTCGAAAATAAAAAATCTCGAATAAACGAATATCGAATAAATTCGGAAAATCAAAAATATCGAATGAATGAATTTCGAATAAATTCGGAAAATCAAAAATATCGAATGAATGAATTTCGAATAAATTCGGAAAATCAAAAATATCGAATGAATGAATATCGAATATATTCGAACATTGGAAGTCGAATTTCGAATAAATATTCGAATGATTTATCGAATAACTAAAGGAATCACACCTCAAACTTGCCGACATATCTGGCTAAAGCCGATTCAATTATAATCAGCCCCCTAGTATCCCCTATACCAACTCCTAGCTCAAGATTTTCCAAAAATCGGTGAAATAAATGGTAAATTTTATTTTTAATCAGCACCCTCATTTACCCCTCTACCAACTCCCAGCCCCGCAACTCAAACTTCTCCGAAAATCGATAAAATCGATAAAGCAAATTTTTGTCCATAATCCGTGAAGGTGCACCAGCCAGCTTTGAGCGGTCGCGCGCATCGTGTAGGCGGCTGCACTTCGTGATCCTTGCGCGTTATCCACCGCACGGGTAAGAACCGCATTTATACACCTTGATCCTGCGGCTTTGTTCGACAGCAGACCTTATTTGTCAGGCTTCCACTGGATTTCAAAGACGTTTAGCAGAGTAAAGATAAAGTTGGCTGGAGCTAAAATCTAAAATGAGAAACATTGCAACTTGGTGTAAGCACCTAACGAGCTATTCGGATTCATAGCGCTAGGTGTGCGATCTTTTGAAGCAATAAGGTGGCCACATATGTACTTAAACTCCACAAATGCTACGATACATTGCCTGTTCATCGGAGACTTTCGTCTTGTGTGTATACTAGTCGTAGACAAAGGCATATGGTTTCCTGCGCGAAGCGAGCACGAATGCCCCTATAACCCCGGGCATACTGCAGGCATTTCAGTGGCGACGTGGTATGGCAATACTCAAATTGTCCAAAACCTATTCTGAAAGTACAGAATCCAGGGCATCTATCATTTTAGTATATTGTACACGCTAAACATTTGTGGTAAACTGCCATTACATCTGAAGACATCTCGTAACTGGCAAATCGCGTACGGCGATCTAAAGCGTCTAATCCTGCTCTACAACTGCGATGTCCTTTACTCAATATACACCAATTCGCAAAAAACTCCAAGGTAACGAATAGGCAGTTTTGAAATGATTTATGCGAGCAAGAGTGCTCACTAGTGTGGGCTTTGCGTACCGCAAGCATGAGCAATGCAAAAAAAGAAGAACAGCCATTTCAATTCAGTATGAACTCAGAACATGAGCTTGAATTTGATATCTTCTTTGCTGATTTGGTGCCAATAGCAGTGCGAACAATCTCACTGATCGAAAAAACATCAATTAAACTTATGATTTTTTTTACTGTCGCAAGCAGTTGGAAGAATGCGACTCTCCATACAGTTCAAAAATATACCGGTTGCAAAAGATGCATTACCGAGTTTTGCGAAGAAAAAAACGCGGAGGAAGTGAGCTTGATACTCAGCATTTGTCTCTGCAACAAAGTCGAATAATCTGAATACGGAGTACATTCGAATACGAATTCGAATAAACATTCGAATAAAACATTCGAATAAAATCTATTCGAAACCCCGTTTTTTGATTATTCGAGTTTTCGAATAATATTCGAAACCTCGTTTTTTGATTATTCGAGTTTTCGAATAATATTCGAAACCCTGTTTTTTGATTATTCGAGTTTCGAATTTTATTCGAAACCCCGTTTTCTCAATTATTCGAGTTTCGAATATTATTCGAAAATGGAAGAACTCCGAATATTGAATTTCGAATACGAATATATTCGAATGTTTTATTCGAATGATCGAATTTCTATTCGATTCGGACCCAAGTATACTATCCAGGTTTTACATTGTGATTCCTTCCTTTCACGTCATTTCAGTATTTTCTCTAAATCTCAACTCTTACTTAAGCAGTTTATCTCACTTGCATTGGCAAAGGTCGATTAGCTTCTCATCTGTTTTCCTCTTCAGCTTTGCATAGTGACACAAATAGATCTCTCATATAATTGAGGTAGTTTTATCTTCCGCAAATGCCTACTTTTACCATTGTACATATATTCCTACAATTTACTAAAGTGCCTTTAATGTGACAATGCATCGTTTTGGTCATAAATCTATGTATTACTCATATGTCAAACGTGATATCACAATGCACGCCTCTTCAAATCGTGGGGCCCCAAAACCCTCCGCCATTAAAGATTTCCGGCAGCAAAAACAGGGTTGTGGCGGTGGGGCAGATACATGACTTAATGCTACAAGTAAGAGTGTGCCGAGAGCGCTGCTGTTGTAAGGACTGAGGTACGTTGCGGCGTCGCTCCGCGGAAACTTCGCGCCGATCGTACCTCCTGATCGTCCCTCAAGGAGATGGCGTCAGTAGTCAAGCAGAGAAAGGTGTTTTGCTCTTATGACATGTTAGCTATAGCTGGTAGCTCATATTGAATCATTACCGCGAATTCTGACGTACGAACGCGCGTTAGGCAAGCACTTGATTTGCTCGATTCGATTGATCCGCTTCGCTATTGGTCAAATCAGTGAATCAAACAATAGCAAAGTGGATGAAATATAAGTGGACCATCTGGACAACCGCTATCAGTTAATTCACTAATTTGACCAATAGCGAATTTTTTTCGTTAATAAAACTTGTTCTTTGGTTAAGATGTTTGCTGCAGAATCACTGGGATCAATTGTTGGGTCAAAGAGGAATTCGTAAAAAATTTTTGGGTCAAAGGTAAATTCGTTTTCGAAAACCCCTTTTGACAAGCTCATGCCGGGCCCTGATACATACCTTTGATAATAGAGCCATGTACTCTGGTAACCTTCACTTTTAGCGTCATGATAGAACACAACTTTCACCTGGAGAGAAGTGCAGAAGTCATCCGGGCGAAGCCCCGGATATTACGACGCAACTAATGACATAACCATAGGCATAAAAGTGAATAAGGCAAGTATAGTAGTGACATCCAAAAGAAGCTCAAAAAACCGAAGGATTGCGTTTTTATGGCCTCTTTTTGCTGAAGAGAAAATTTTTATCAAAAATTCAATTAGAAACTAGGACAAAATTTTCCACTTAACCTTCCTCGAGACTGCGATTGAGCGCTGGAAGCTCATGAAAGCCGCTCGAGTTCAATGAAAACAAGAAATTGCGCTCAAATCTTGCGCAGAGAATCGCCACATAAATGCTGGTCTATCTCGTTAGGGAGTGATTTTCAAGACCCGCGACGTTGTCAGTGCTCCTGGCCATTTCATGAGGATTACAACGATATATAATGTTATAGGGTTTCATTATCGCGCGGAGATCAATAACCAGAGCCAAATGCCCCGTCGGCTCTGGTCTGTCTCCGCTGCTCGTCTGCGTCTCCGCGCGTTGCGCGCTACCTCGCTACTTCACATGCGGGGCACGGGGCATTTGGCTCTGGTACCCTTTTCTTGTTGTTCGGAGCCTAATTACGAAAATCTATGTACCATATTTAAGCTCTTAACCTCTGTTTTCACGCTGACAACGTCGCAAAACTCTTTTTTATGATTTAAAAAAGAAATAGAGAAAACGGCGTTTTCAAAAACCTCTTGTTTTTTCTTCAATTTAACTCTTTTACTCGGTTTTTTGTGTATTCGATAGGTCTTGTTTCTGTCTATGATGTAGACAACGTCGCCGAGCTTACTTGTTTGTTTACGCCAGTTTTTTCTGAAAAT